AAAGAGAATATTTTTGGGTCTTCCTGAAATAGACTTCATAATCCAAGGAAGTATCGGAATAAGTTTTGGAGCGGATTAAGCCGGCAGTCGAGTCTTGTTCAGTGGAGCAGCTCAAGGCTTCATTTGAGTGCTTTCTCAAAAGGAGAACAATACTTTACTTTATATGTGCAAGAGTATGTTAATATTGTCAGGACTTGGCAATATAGAACCACAGTGTCCACTGTCACTTTACGGAGTCCACTTTGTTCCCAGAGCCTCATGGTACTAAACATGTACAATGTATATATATTTCTTGCACTAGAATTTATCATTGCACTGGCAAAGATAGAATTTTACACGGTTTTATTAAAGCTAATGTCAGGAGAGGTTGTACCTACTTATTAGTTTTTCATTATTGCTAAAGTTAGAGATTTTATAGATTGCCTCCTTATTACTCTAAAGTAATAATGTATACTTGTTTTTTAGTATGCTAAAGCTATGAGATTTCTACTTGCTCTGTCTTATGCAAAGCTAGAAGATGTTATACTAGCGTCTTTATTATGCTATAGATAGTGGTTTTATTTTATTTATCTTGTGTGTGTGCTCCTCGATTCCTCTCTTTGGAAATGTCCCCACTGTGGGTCGAAGAAAGGATCTATTAATCGTAATCTTTTGTCTCCATGGCAACATGAGTCTTTTGATGAATAATATGTTTGTTGTAAACTGTGTCTGGGGTGCAGGTCCATAAAAAGCTAAACCAACACCAAACTTCTGCCTAAAAAGAGTGCTTCATTTCAAAGTTCTTGTGACCGGAGCAAATGAGAATTTGCGTGAGGAATGGTCTGCTTGTGGTTCAGTGATTGGCGAACACTCCTTTCAGTTTTACATTTCACAGAATTGGATTTAATCAAGTTTTACTTGGCTTTAATCCAAAAGCTGGCGTTTAGAGATTTCTTGTAATACAACATGGGCAGAGTTAAAAGTGTGTGTCTAAGTATGTGTATGTGTGTGTCTAAGTATGTGTATGAGTGTGTGTCTAAGTATGTGTGTCTAAGTTTGTGTGTGTGTGTGTCTAAGTATGTGTGTCTAAGTTTGTGTGTGTGTCTAAGTATGTATGTTGTGTGTGTGTGTGGGTGGGGGGTGTTGTTTATTGTATCACTTGTTGGTGAAAACTGGTGTAAAACATGTTTTGTGATCAGCATGCTGGACTGACTCCAGGAAGAATAGATGTACTTGTTACAGCTAATGGAGATCAAATAAATACAAATACAAATACTCTCCCCCCCTCTCCCTCTCCCTCTCTCCCCCTCATGAGCTGCGGTGTGTGTTGCAGTAACATCATCCCGTCCTTCGTCCTCATGGACATCCAGGCGTCCACCGTGGTCACGTACGTCTATCAGCTGATCGGGGAGGACGTCAAGGTGGAGCGCATCGAGTACAAGAAGACCTGAGGGGGAGGAGAGGGGGAGAGGGGGGAGGGCAGGGCTATAAATGGAGACCAGAAAGAGACCAGAGACCATGGCCGAGGTGAGGGAGGGACCAGAGCGAGCAGAGGATCTGAGCATTAAAAACTTTATGAACTTCATGTCATTGTTTTCCTCAAAGACAAAAACAAAATGCCTCTGTTGGTGATAAACTCTGGTCTCTCTCTGGTCTCTCTCTGGTCTCTCTCTGGTCTCTCTCTGGTCTCTCTCTGGTCTCTCTCTCTGGTCTCTCTCTCTGCTCTCCCTCTGGTCTCTCTCTGGTCTCCCTCTGGTCTCTCTCTCTGGTCTCCCTCTGGTCTCTCTCTCTGGTCTCCCTCTGGTCTCTCTCTCTGGTCTCCCTCTGGTCTCTCTCTGGTCTCTCTCTCTGGTCTCCCTCTGGTCTCTCTCTGGTCTCCCTCTGGTCTCTCCCTCTGGTCTCTCTCTGGTCTGTCTCTCTGGTCTCTCTCTGGTCTCTCTCTGCTCTCTCTCTCTGGTCTCCCTCTGGTCTCTCCCTCTGGTCTCTCTCTGGTCTGTCTCTCTGGTCTCTCTCTCTGGTCTCTCTCTGGTCTCCCTCTGGTCTCTCTCTGCTCTCTCTCTCTGGTCTCCCTCTGGTCTCTCCCTCTGGTCTCTCTCTGGTCTGTCTCTCTGGTCTCTCTCTCTGGTCTCCCTCTGGTCTCTCTCTGGTCTGCTGTATTATGTTCTAACTGCTTTTGTTTTGTGCCATTTCCAGTTTAATGAAACCTGTTAAATGTTTTATTTCTTTTCACAATAAATCACTAACGCCACAACAGCTGTGTTTTTAGTCTGTTTTTAGTGCTGTTTTACTGGTGCAGAGAGGACTGGGCAGCAGTCGAAAGCAGAGACCTCGGCGACCCAGTCCACACACTCAACATCTGGCTCTTGGGACGTGGAACGTCACCTCACTGGGGGAAGGAGCCCGAGCTCGTGGGGGAGGTTGAGAGATACCTAGAGATAGTTTCACCTCCACACACAGCTTGGGCTCTGAACCCAACTCCTTGAGAGGGGTTGGACGCTCCACTTTTCTGGTGTTTCTCGCGGGGAGAGGCGGCGAGCGGGGGTGGCCATACTCATTGCCCCCATCTCAGCTCCACGTGTTGGAGTTCTCCCCATAAGTTGAACTTATGAACATCCGACCCACCGTTCCCATGGACCTATTGCCTGTTTTCTTGGCATCTGCGGCTGATTTAGTTCATGTTCTAGCCAAAAAAGTGTGGGCCCGTAAAAGGGGAAAGCGTGGAGGCCTGCTCGTGCGTCTGAGGAGGAGAGGAGCGCACGGCTCTCCCCGGCATTTTTCTCTCCAACGTACACTCACTGGGCAATAAGACGAACTCAGCCTGCTCATGAGAAGAAACAAGGACTTCATCCTGTGTCCTCTGCTTCACTGAGACCTGGCTAAATGAGCGGATCCCGGACTGCGCTCTGGAGCTGCAGGGCTTTGGGCTGTTCCGCGCGGATCGCCATTGTGCGCTCTCAGGGAAGAGCAGAGGCGGAGGGCTGTGTTTCTACGTCAATACAAACTGGTGTAACGATGTGACAGTGATCTCCAAGCACTGCTCTCCTGCTCTGGAATATCTTTTAATTCATTGTAAACCATTTTACTCCCCTCGTGAAATTGTTTCATTCATTCTTGCCTCTGTTTACATACCGCCATGCACGGACGCAGAGCAAGTACTGTGTATGGAACGTTTATACCCGGACTCTCTGATTATTATCCTGGGGGATTTTAATAAGGGAAACTTGAGCCAGGAATTACCCAAATACAGTTTATCAAATGCCCGACCAGAGAGGAGAACACTCTGGATCACTGTTACACCACAGTGCGCGGAGCTTTTCACGCTGTTCCCAAGCCAGCCCTCGGCTTCTCAAATCACTCCATGATACATCTGGTTCCTGCTTACAGAGACTAAAGCTCTCGAAACCTGCAGTGAGGAGCTCCAAAGTGTGGTCTGATGAAGCTGTGGAAGAGCTGCGCGCATGCATGGAATCTACAGACTGGGACCTTTTCAGAGCTGCCACAGATAGTTTGGATGAATACACGGACACTGTGACGTCATACATTCACTTCTGTGAGGATAGCATCATTCCAACAAGGACCAGGGTCATCTATAACAACGACAAACCCTGGTTCACTGCTAAACTCCGGCAGCTCAGGAAAGCAAAGGAGTCTGCTTTCAGGGAGGGGGACCGCAGCGGCTACAAAGCAGCTAAATATCAGTTCAGGAAAGAACTGAAAGCAGCCAAGTCCCGGCACAGAGAACGACTACAGGAGCAGTTTGGTAACAACGATACTGCTTCTGTCTGGAGGGGCTTACGGGAGATCACCAACTACAAGCCCAAAGCCCCCCCCTGTGCTGACGACCACCAGCTAGCTGATGAACTGAACTTATTTTTCAGTCGCTTTGATGCTGCCCCTGACACCTCCCCCACCCCCCACTACTCTAACGACCCACCCATCAGCCCTGCCCCCAGCCTGACAATAGCCTCTAAAGAGACTAAACAACTCTTCTTGAGGCTGCACCCCCGCAAAGCTCCTGGCCCGGACCACGTGTCTCCGGCCACTCTGAGACACTGCGCCAGTGAGCTTACTCCTGTGTTCACTGACATTTTCAACACCTCTCTGCAGTCCTGCCATGTCCCGGCCTGCTTCAAATCCTCCACCATTGTCCCCGTCCCGAAGAAGCCCAGGATCACAGGACTCAACGACTACAGACCTGTAGCACTTACGTCTGTCGTCATGAAGTCATTTGAACGCCTGGTTCTCTCCCATCTCAAGTCCCTCACCTCCCCCCTCCTGGACCCCCTGCAGTTCGCCTACAGAGCCAACAGATCTGTAGACAACGCCATTAACCTGGCCCTCCACCACATCCTACAGCACCTGGACTCCCCGGGGACCTACGCCAGGGTCCTGTTCGTGGACTTCAACTCTGCCTTCAACACAATCCTGCCATCCCTGCTCCAGGACAAGCTCTCCCAGCTCAACGTGCCCGATTCCACCTGCAGGTGGATCACTGACTTCCTGACAGACAGGAAGCAGCGAGTGCGTCTGGGGAAGAATGTCTCGGATTATAAATACAGGAGCCCCACAGGGCTGTGTTCTTTCTCCCCTGCTCTTCTCCCTGTACACCAACCACTGCACCTCCAGCCACGACTCCGTGAAGCTGATCAAGTTCGTGGACGACACCACCCTCATTGGACTCATCTCCAACAACGATGAGTCCGCCTACAGGAGGGAGGTGGACCGGCTGGTGTCCTGGTGCAGTGGTAACAACCTGGAGCTGAACGCCCAGAAGACAGTGGAGATGATTGTGGACTTCAGGAAGAGCACTGTCCCCCCACCCTCACCCTCCGTGATGGACTCCCCCATCACCTCTGTGGAGTCCTTCCGTTTCCTGGGCACCACCATCACCCAGGACCTCAAGTGGGAGCCGACCATCAGCTCCCTCATCAAGAAGGCCCAGCAGAGGATGTACTTCCTGCGGCAGCTCAGGAAAGCCAAGCTGCCTGCACAGATGTTGACCTCCTCCATCACCTCCTCCATCACCTCATCACCACCTCCAGCACCTCCTCCAGCACCTCCTTCACCTCCTCCAGCACCTCCTTCACCTCCTCCATCACCTCCTCCATCACCTCCTCCAGCACCTCCTCCATCACCTCCTCCAGCACCTCCTCCATCACCTCCTCCATCACCTCCTCCATCACCTCCTTCACCTCCTCCATCACCTCCTCCATCACCTCCTCCATCACCTCCTCCATCACCTCCTCCATCACCTCCTCCATCTCCTCCTCCATCACCTCCTCCATCACCTCCTCCATCACCTCCTCCATCACCTCCTCCAGCACCTCCTCATCACCTCCTTCATCACCTCCTCCTCCATCACCTCCTCCATCACCTCCTTCACCTCCTCCAACACCTCCTCCATCACCTCCTCCAACACCTCCTCCATCGCCTCCTCCATCGCCTCCTCCATTGCCTCCTCCATCGCCTCCTCCATCTCCTCCTACATCACCTCCTCCAGCACCTCCTCCATCACCTCCTCCATCACCTCCTCCAGCACCTCCTCCATCACCGTGTGGTTCGCTGGAGCCACAGTCAGGGACAAACAGAGACTACAGTGCATTGTGCGCTCTGCAGAGGAAGTGATCGGCCGCAGCCTTCCATCGCTGCAGGACCTGTACGTCGCCCGAGCTCGAGGCCGGGCTGGTCGTATCACAGCCGACCCCTCTCACCCTGCACATGGACTATTCCAACCACTCCCCTCAGGCAGGAGGCTGCGGTCCATCAGGACTAGAACCTCCCGCCACAAGAACAGTTTCTTCCCCTCTGCTGTTGGACTCTTGAACACTTCTTAACCTGTCCCCCCCGCACTTTATAAAGTCACTTTACTGCCCATCATACGTCACTTTACTTCACTGTACTGCTGTCACCTTACACTGTGTGCACCATGTGCACTTGTATATTGTAAATAGTAACTGTAACTCTATTTTACATTTACATTTATTCTTTATAAGTGTTTTTTATTCTTATTTTTATTATCTCTTTCTGACTGTTGCACTGAGCCAAAGCAATTTCCAAGTCTGTGACTTCTGTTACTTACGTGGCAATAAAAATTATTCTGATTCTGATTGAATGAGAGGTGGGGGACAAGTCTCTCATTGTTGTTGTGCCTACGGGCCTAACAGCAGTGCAGAGTACCCGACCTTCTTGGAGTCCTTGGGAGGGGTACTGGACGGTGCACCGCCCGAGACTCCATTGTTCTCCTGGGGGACTTCAACGCCCATGTGGGGGACGCCAGTGACACTTGGAGAGGGTTCATGGGAGTTCGCCCAACCAGTCCACATGTGCTTTGTGGATTTGGAGAAGGCGTTCGACCGTGTTCCCCGGGGTGTCCTTTGGGGGGTTCTCCGGGAGTACGGGGTCCGGGGTCCTCTGCTGAGGGCCGTCCGGTCCCTGTATGACCGGAGCCAGAGCTGCGTGCGCATCGCCGGCAGTAAGTCAGACCTGTTCCCGGTGCATGTTGGCCTCCGACAGGGCTGCCCTTTGTCACCGGTTCTGTTCACTGTCTTTATGGACAGAATTTCTAGGCGCAGCCAGGAGTCGGAGGGGGTCCGGTTCGGGGACCACAGGATTTCATCTCTGCTGTTTGCGGACGATGTTGTCCTGTTGGCTCCAACGAACCAGGACCTGCAGCATGCACTGGGGCACCTGGGGCACTGAATCAGCACCTACAAATCCGAGGCCATGGTGCTCGACCGGAAAAAGGTGCCTTGCCCTCTGCAGGTGGGTGGAGAGGTCCTTCCTCAAGTGGAGGAGTTCAAGTATCTCGGGGTCTTGTTCACGAGTGAGGGAAGAATGGAGCGTGAGATTGACAGGCGGATCGGTGCAGCGTGCGCAGTGATGCGGTCGCTGTATCGGACCGTTGTGGTAAAGAGGGAGCAGCGTCTGTAGTCAGAGCTGCCTGTATTGGACCGTTGTGGTAAAGAGGGAGCTGAGCCGACAAGAGGAACCAGTCCCACCGGGAGGAGGCCCCGGGGAAGACCCAGGACCCAGAGGGACTATGTCTCTCAGCTGGCCTGGGAACGCCTTGGGGTTGGATCAGCTGGAGGAACTGTTTGAGAGAGAAGTCTGGTCATCTCTGCTTAGACTGCTGCCCCTGCCACCCGGCAACGGATGAAGCGGAAGACGATGGATGGATGGTCTGTTTTAGGGTTTTTAGTCCTGTGTAAAGGGGACTTTATAAAGAGCAGTTAAGTGACTTTATAAAGGGCAGTAAAGTGACTTTATAAAGAGCAGTTAAGTGACTTTATAAAGGGCAGTAAAGTGACTTTATAAAGAGCAGTTAAGTGACTTTATAAAGGGCAGTAAAGTGACTTTATAAAGAGCAGTAAAGTGACTTTATAAAGGGCAGTAAAGTGACTTTATAAAGGGCAGTAAAGTGACTTTATAAAGGGCAGTAAAGTGACTTTATAAAGGGCAGTAAGTGACTTTATCCCAGCGCGCTCCCAGCGCGGGCGTGCTCCTCCAGTACAGTTCGGCGATGTCCACCAGGATGTCTGCCCTTTCCCGGACCGTTTGTGGCGGTGGATTCTCCCGGTTCATCCCGACAATACCGTGGATGGATACGTAACAGAGGAGTACTATATCCACCGGCTTCCCAGACCAACAGAGCGCCGCGCTGTCCCAGCTAACCTGCGCTCGTTAGCTCGGGCCCAGCCTTGTGAGGATAATCCAACTCTTCAGCTGGCCCTGTTCAATGTTAGATCCCTGGCGAACAAGACTTTTGTATTGAATGACTTCTTCACAAACCGGGATTTGGACTGTATGCTTCTGACTGAAACCTGGCTTCGACCTGGTGAGTGTATCGCTTTCTCAGAACTTCTCCCTCCAGCATGCTCCTTCTTTAGCTCCCCTCGCATAACAGGGAAAGGCGGAGGATTAGCTACTGTTTTTAAAAACAATCTGAACTGTCGGAAGCTCCCCTGTGCGCAATTTGAAAGTTTTGAATTGCAGCTCTTTGAGCTAAGACTGAATGCACTGATCCTGTGCGCACTAATATATCGCCCGCCTAAGACCAACAAGGATTTTATAAAGGAATTTTCGAGCCTTGTGGCGGACATCGCTCTGAAATGGGACTATTTTATACTTGCTGGTGATTTTAATGTTCATGTTTGTTGCGAATCAAAACCTCTAGTCAAGGAATTTCGGAACATTCTCGACTCTTTTAGCTTGACTCAGTCTATAAATGTTCCGACCCACAATAAGGGGCACATTTTAGACCTGGTATTGTCTCACGGGCTAAATGTGAATGTCAGAGACATATGTGACTTGGGGATCTCTGATCATATGCCTGTGTTGTTTTCAATTTCGATGTCTTGCCCAAAAGCAAATGCGTGCGTTCCCGTGAGCAAGCGGCGATTTGCTCTACTACGGCTCCTCTTTTTTCCGCAGCTTTTAATGCCTCGCCTCTGAGCGCTTCCGTAACCAACTTGGAAATTAATGACATGGTTAGCCTCCTTGATTCCACTTGCATCGAGATTCTTGACTCTATTGCGCCTTTTACGCACATGCGCTCAAAGCCTGGAGAGCCGTGGCACAATGCCACAACGCGTGCTCTTCGCTGTGAATGTCGCCGCGCGGAGAGAAAATGGAAAAAATACCGACTTCATGTGTCCCTGGGAATTTTAAAAGACTCTCTTAAAAACTACCAAAGAGCTGTAAAATCAGCAAAGACCAACTACATGTCCAACCTTGTTACCAAAAATTGTAACAACCTCAAAGTTCTCTTTAATGTGTTAAACAGTATTGTAAACCCAGTTGAACACACTGGTGTTTCCCCATCTGTTTCCTTGTGCGACCAATTCTGTAAATTTTTCAAAGAGAAAGTGTCTTCTTTGCGCTCTTCAACCTCATGTGCTGTAGTGGATCCCAGTCTTGTCTCTCCTTGTTCAGCTGTTTTTGCAGACTTTGAGCCCATCTCTCTGTCTGAATTACTGCAGACTGTTCAAACACTTAAAGTGTCTAACTGTTCTTTAGATACCCTGCCTGCGAGAATGTTTAAAGATGTTTTAGATTCTGTTGGTCCTTGTATTTTAAACCTGATCAATCAGTCACTCGAAGAGGGCTGTGTCCCAGCTGCCTTTAAACAGGCCATTGTGCAGCCTTTGCTAAAAAAGCACAATTTGGACCCATCTGTCTTGTCCAATTTTAGGCCTATTTCTAAACTGCCTTTTCTATCCAAGGTTCTAGAAAAGGTAGTTCTTAACCAGCTCCAGTCGCACCTTAAATCAAATGATATTTTAGAAAAATTTCAATCTGGGTTTAAATCCTTGCACAGCACAGAAACTGCACTGTTGAAAATTTTTAATGATCTTCTTTTAATCTCTGACTCCGGAAGCCCCTCGGTGTTAGTGCTTCTAGATCTGACAGCAGCATTCGACACTGTCGATCATAACATTCTTATCTCCCGCCTTGAGTCCTGTGCTGGAATTAAAGGCACAGCACTCAAGTGGTTCCACTCGTACCTGTCCGATCGGGTGTTTTCTGTAAATCTCGGCTCTTGCAGCTCAAAGAAAGCCTCCCTTGACAGTGGTGTACCGCAGGGTTCCGTTTTAGGACCAGTTTTATTTTCACTGTACATGTTGCCCTTAGGCTCGATATTCAAAAAGCATAACATTTCATTTCACTGCTTTGCTGATGATGTTCAAATCTATTTGCCTTTGAATGTGAATTCCGATTCCGTCCAAGCACTGCAGAAATGTCTTGACGATGTAAAAGACTGGATGTCAATCAATTTTTTAAACCTGAATCACACAAAAACAGAAATTGTACTGTTTGGTGAACCTGATCCGTCTGTTTTCAACGGTGTGTCTAGCCTGTCTTCCTACTGCCGCCCACTTGCAAAAAACCTTGGTGTGTATTTTTATGGTGCTTTTAAAATGGACACACAAATAAGTTGAGTTGTCAAAGCCAGCTTCTTCCAGCTGAGACTGTTGACCAAAGTTAAAGGCTATCTTCCACCAAATGACCTTGAGAAGGTTGTCCACGCCCTCATATCCACACGGCTGGACTATTGTAACTCTTTATACTATGGCCTTGACCAGTCCTCAGTCCACAGACTGCAGCTGGTACAGAATGCAGCAGCTCGGATGCTGACTGGCACCAGACGACACGAGCACATCACTCCTGTGCTGTTGTCTCTACATTGGCTTCCTGTCGCTTTTAGAATTAAGTTTAAAATGTTATTGTTAGTATTTAAATCTCTGCATGACCTGGCTCCGTCATATCTGACTGACTTGCTTACTTTGCACACCCCGGGAAGAGCACTGAGGTCCTCTGACCAGCTTCTTCTGCACTGTCCCAGGTCTAGATTAAAAACCAGAGGAGACCGAGCCTTTGCTGTGGCAGGGCCTAAACTCTGGAAAGCTCTCCCTTACTCCATCAGAGCTGCCTCCTCTGTGGAGAGTTTTAAATCGCAGCTAAAGACACATTTCTTTGCTTTGGCTTTTTAACACAAGCAATGTTGAAACATTTATGATGGTGTCCTGCATTTTATTTTATGCTGAATGTTATTTGTGTCTTGTATTTTTACAATGTCTGGTAAGCACTTTGTGACAGTCCTGTCTGTTTTTAAAATGTGCTATATAAATAAACTTGACCTTGACCTTGACTTTATAAAGGGCAGTAACGTGACTTTATAAAGGGCAGTAAAGTGACTTTATAAAGGGCAGTAAAGTGACTTTATAAAGGGCAGTAAAGTGACTTTATAAAGGGCAGTAAAGTGACTTTATAAAGAGCAGTAAGTGACTTTATAAAGGGCAGTAAAGTGACATTATATAGGGCAGTAAGGTGACTTTATAAAAGGCAGTAAGGTGACTTTATAAAGGGCAGTAAGTGACTTTATAAAGAGCAGTAAGGTGACTTTATAAAGGGCAGTAAAGTGACTTTATAAAGGGCAGTAAGTGACTTTATAAAGGGCAGTGACTTTATAAAGGGCAGTAAAGTGACTTTAAAAAGGGCAGTAAAGTGAAATTATAAAGGGCAGTAAAGTGACTTTATAAAGGGCAGTGACTTTATAAAGGGCAGTGACTTTATAAAGGGCAGTAAAGTGACTTTATGAAGGGCAGTTAAGTGACTTTATAAAGGGCAGTAAAGTGACTTTATAAAGGGCAGTAAAGTGCCTTTATAAAGGGCAGTAAGGGACCCTTCTGTTCTTAGCTCTGTGGCTGAGAACAGAATGTCTCCTCAGATCAGCTCTAAAACGTGTGTGTGTGTGTGTGTGTGTGTGTGTGTGTGTGTGTGTGTGTGTGTGTGTGTGTGTGTGTGTGTGTGTGTGTGTGTGTGTGTGTGTGTGTGTGTGTGTGTGTGTGTGTGTGTGTGTGTGTGTGTGTGTGTGTGAGCAGGGGACTCGTTTTGGTCTCAGTGCGAGGGTGGAACATAAAGACACAATGAGTCTCATTATGTTGCTTTATTTGAGACGTTTCTTTGTCCTGACGCCACAGCTGCAGGAAGTCTCTGGTCTCTCTCTGGTCTCTCTGTGGTCTCTTTCTGGTCTCTCTCTGGTCTCTCTGTGGTCTATGTCTGGCCTCTCCCTCTGGTCTCTCTCTGGTCTATGTCTGGCCTCTCCCTCTGGTTTCTCTCTGGTCTCTCTCTGGTCTCTCTATGGTCTCTCTCTGGTCTCTCTCTGGTCTCTCTCTCTGGTCTCTCTCTGGTCTCTCTCTCTGGTCTCTCTCTGGTCTCTCTCTGGTCTCTTTCTCTGGTCTCTCCCTCTTGTCTCTTTCTGGTCTCTCTCTCTGGTCTCTCTCTCTGGTCTCTCTCTGGTCTCTCCCTCTGGTCTCTCTCTCTGTCTCTCCCTCTGGTCTCTCTCTCGGCTCTCTCTCTCTCTCTGGTCTCTCTCTGGTCTCTCTCTCTGGTCTCTCTCTGGTCTCTCTCTGGTCTCTCTCTGGTCTGTCTCTGGTCTCTCTCTGGTCTCCTTCTGGTCTCTGGTTCAGGAGTCTGAGTCTGACAGTGAGTCCCAGTCAGTGAGGGACAGAGCCCTGAGGTCTTGGTTGAGGTCCTTCTCGTTGAGTTTGGCCTCCTCTTCCTCCCACTGACGCAGCCACAGCTCATCTTCATCCTCCTCCTCTTCCTCAGGACTCACCACTGAGCAACAAGAAGACCACAAAAGTTACAGACCTGAGCTTTAAACATGTGTTGTTCAGACTAAAGTTACAGACCTGAGCTTTAAACATGTGTTATTCAGACTAAAGTTACAGACCTGAGCTTTAAACATGTGTTATTCAGACTAAAGTTACAGACCTGAGCTTTGAACATGTGTTGTTCAGACTAAAGTTACAGACCTGAGCTTTAAACATGTGTTATTCAGACTAAAGTTACAGACCTGAGCTTTAAACATGTGTTATTCAGACTAAAGTTACAGACCTGAGCTTTAAACATGTGTTATTCAGACTAAAGTTACAGACCTGAGCTTTAAACATGTGTTATTCAGACTAAAGTTACAGACCTGAGCTTTAAACATGTGTTATTTAGACTAAAGTTACAGACCTGAGCTTTAAACATGTGTTATTCAGACTAAAGTTACAGACCTGAGCTTTAAACATGTGTTATTCAGACTAAAGTTACAGACCTGAGCTTTAAACATGTGTTATTCAGACTAAAGTTACAGACCTGAGCTTTAAACATGTGTTATTCAGACTAAAGTTACAGACCTGAGCTTTAAACATGTGTTATTCAGACTAAAGGTACAGACCTGAGCTTTAAACATGAGTTATTCAGACTAAAGTTACAGACCTGAGCTTTAAACATGTGTTATTTAGACTAAAGTTACAGATCTGAGCTTTAAACATGTGTTATTTAGACTAAAGTTACAGACCTGAGCTTTAAACATGTGTTATTCAGACTAAAGTTACAGACTTGAGCTTTAAACATGTGTTATTCAGACTAAAGTTATAGACCTGAGCTTTAATCATGTGTTATTCAGACTAAAGTTACAGACCTGAGCTTTAAACATGTGTTATTTAGACTAAAGTTACAGACCTGAGCTTTAAACATGTGTTATTTAGACTAAAGTTACAGACCTGAGCTTTAAACATGTGTTGTTTAGACTAAAGTTACAGACCTGAGCTTTAAACATGTGTTATTTAGACTAAAGTTACAGACCTGAGCTTTAAACATGTGTTATTCAGACTAAAGGTACAGACCTGAGCATTAAACATGAGTTATTCAGACTAAAGTTACAGACCTGAGCTTTAAACATGTGTTATTTAGACTAAAGTTACAGACCTGAGCTTTAAACATGTGTTATTCAGACTAAAGTTACAGACCTGAGCTTTAAACATGTGTTATTTAGACTAAAGTTACAGACCTGAGCTTTAAACATGTGTTATTCAGACTAAAGTTACAGACCTGAGCATTAAACATGTGTTATTCAGACTAAAGTTACAGACCTGAGCTTTAAACATGTGTTATTCAGACTAAAGTTACAGACCTGAGCTTTAAACATGTGTTATTTAGACTAAAGTTACAGACCTGAGCTTTAAACATGTGTTATTCAGACTAAAGTTACAGACCTGAGCTTTAAACATGTGTTATTCAGACTAAAGTTACAGACCTGAGCTTTAAACATGTGTTATTCAGACTAAAGTTATAGACCTGAGCTTTAATCATGTGTTATTCAGACTAAAGTTACAGACCTGAGCTTTAAACATGTGTTATTCAGACTAAAGTTATAGACCTGAGCTTTAAACATGTGTTATTCAGACTAAAGTTACAGACCTGAGCATTAAACATGTGTTATTCAGACTAAAGTTACAGACCTGAGCTTTAAACATGTGTTATTCAGACTAAAGTTACAGACCTGAGCTTTAAACATGTGTTATTTAGACTAAAGTTACAGACCTGAGCTTTAAACATGTGTTATTCAGACTAAAGTTACAGACCTGAGCTTTAAACATGTGTTATTCAGACTAAAGTTACAGACCTGAGCTTTAAACATGTGTTATTCAGACTAAAGTTATAGACCTGAGCTTTAATCATGTGTTATTTAGACTAAAGTTACAGACCTGAGCTTTAAACATGTGTTATTCAGACTAAAGTTACAGACCTGAGCTTTAAACATGTGTTATTCAGACTAAAGTTACAGACCTGAGCTTTAAACATGTGTTATTCAGACTAAAGTTACAGACCTGAGCTTTAAACATGTGTTATTTAGACTAAAGTTACAGACCTGAGCTTTAAACATGTGTTATTCAGACTAAAGTTACAGACCTGAGCTTTAAACATGTGTTATTTAGACTAAAGTTACAGACCTGAGCTTTAAACATGTGTTATTTAGACTAAAGTTACAGACCTGAGCTTTAAACATGTGTTATTCAGACTAAAGTTACAGACCTGAGCTTTAAACATGTGTTATTTAGACTAAAGTTACAGACCTGAGCTTTAAACATGTGTTATTCAGACTAAAGTTACAGACCTGAGCATTAAACATGTGTTATTCAGACTAAAGTTACAGACCTGAGCTTTAAACATGTGTTATTCAGACTAAAGTTACAGACCTGAGCTTTAAACATGTGTTATTCAGACTAAAGTTACAGACCTGAGCTTTAAACATGTGTTATTTAGACTAAAGTTACAGACCTGAGCTTTAAACATGTGTTATTCAGACTAAAGTTACAGACCTGAGCTTTAAACATGTGTTATTCAGACTAAAGTTACAGACCTGAGCTTTAAACCTCACCTGTCTTTTTCTTCCTCTTCATTGTGGACGGAGACTGCAGTTTCTTTTTCTGTTTTGACTCTGGGCTTTTCACTGGTCTGTAGAAACACACTTTGGTTTTGTGGAGACAGGAGGACACAGGAGGAGGAGACAGGAGGAGGAAGAGATAGGAGGTGGAGACAGGAGGAGGAGACAGGAGGAGGAGACAGGAGGTGGGGACAGGAGGAGAAGACATTAGGTGGAGACAGGAGGAGGAGACAGGAGGTGGAGACAAGAGGAGGAGACAGGAGCTGGAGACAGGAGGAGGAGACAGGAGGTGGAGACAGGAGGTGGAGACAGGAGGAGGAGACAAGAGGAGACATTAGGTGGAGACAGGAGGAGGGGACAGGAGGAGGAGACAGGAGGAGACAGGAGGAGGAGACAGGAGGTGGAGACAGGAGGAGACAGGAGGAGGAGACAGGAGGAGGAGACAGGAGGTGGAGACAGGAGGTGGAGACAGGAGGAGGAGACAGGAGGTGGAGAAGGGAGGAGGAGACAGGAGGAGACATTAGGTGGAGACATTAGGTGGAGACAGGAGGAGGAGACAGAAGGAGGAGACAAGAGGAGGAGACAGGAGGAGGAGACAGGAGGTGAGGACAGGAGGAGGAGACAGGAGGTGGAGACAGGAGGAGACATTAGGTGGAGACAGGAGGAGGAGACAGGAGGAGGAGACAAGAGGAGGAGACATTAGGTGGAGACAGGAGGTGAGGACAGGAGGAGGAGACAGGAGGAGGAGACAGGAAGAGACAGGAGGTGGAGACAGGAGGTGGAGACAGGAGGAGGAGACAGGAGGTGGAGAAGGGAGGAGGAGACATTAGGTGGAGACATTAGGTGGAGACAGGAGGAGGAGACAGGAGTTGGGGACAGGAGGAGGAGGAGACAGGAGGTGGGGACAGGAGGAGGAGACAGGAGGTGGAGACAGGAGGAGGAGACAGGAGGTGGAGATAGGAGGTGAGAACAGGGAGGAGGAGGAGACAGGAGGAGGAGACAGGAGGTGAGGACAGGAGGAGGAGACAGGAGGTGGAGACAAGAGGAGGAGACAGGAGGTGGAGACAGGAGGAGGAGACAGGAGGAGGAGACAGGAGGTTGAGACAGGAGGTGGAGACAGGAGGAGGATACAGGAGGAGACATTAGGTGGAGACAGGAGGAGGGGACAGGAGGTGAGGACAGGAGGAGGAGACAGGAGGAGACAGGAGGAGGAGACAGGAGGTGGAGACAGGAGGAGGAGACAGGAGGTGGAGAAGGGAGGAGGAGACAGGAGGAGACATTAGGTGGAGACAGGATGAGGAGACAGGAGGAGGAGACAGGAGGTGGGGACAGGAGGAGGAGACAGGAGGTGGGGACAGGAGGAGGAGACAGGAGGTGGAGACAGGAGGAGGAGACAGGAGGTGGAGATAGGAGGTGGAGATAGGATGAGGAGACAGGAGGTGGAGACAGGAGGAGGAGGAGACAGGAGGAGGAGACAGGAGGTGGAGAAAGGAGGAGGAGACAGGAGGTGGAGACAGGAGGAGGAGATAGGAGGAAAAGACAGGAGGAGGAGACAGGAGGAGGAAACAGGATGAGGAGACAGGAGGTGGAGACAGGAGGAGGAGGAGACAGGAGGAGGAGACAGGAGGTGGAGAAAAGAGGAGGACACAGGAGGTGGAGACAGGAAGAGGAGACAGGAGGTGGCGACAAGAGGAGGAGACAAGTGGTGGAGACAGGGAGGAGGAGACAGGAGGAGGAGACAGGAGGAGGAGACAGGAGGAGGATACAGGAGGTAGAGACAGGAGGAAGAGGAGACAGGAGGTGGAGACAGGAGGAGGAGACAGGAGGTGGAGACAAGAGGAGGAGACAGGAGGAGGAGACAGGAGGAGGAGACAAGAGGAGGACACAGGAGGTGGAGACAGGAAGAGGAGACAGGAGGTGGAGACAAGAAGAGGAGACAGGTGGTGGAGACAGGAGGAGGAGACAGGAGGAGGAGACAGGAGAAGGAGACAGGAGGTGGAGACAGGAGGAGGAGGAGACAGGAGGAGGAGACAGGAGGTGAGGACAGGAGGAGGAGACAGGAGGTGGAGACAAGAGAAGGAGACAGGTGGTTGAGACAAGAGGAGGAGACAGGAGGAGGAGACAGGAGGTGGAGACAGGAGGAGACAGGAGGAAGACACAGGAGGTGGAGACAGGAGGAGGAGACAGGAGGTGGAGAAGGGAGGAGGAGACAGGAGGAGACATTAGGTGGAGACATTAGGTGGAGACAGGAGGAGGAGACAGGAGGTGGAGATAGGAGGTGGAGATAGGAGGAGGAGACAGGAGGTGGAGACAGGAGGAGGAGGAGACAGGAGGTGGAGAAAGGAGGAGGAGACAGGAGGTGGAGACAGGAGGAGGAGACAGGAGGAGGAGAAGACAGCAGGCGGAGGCAAGAGGAGGACACAGGAGGTGGAGACAGGAAGAGGAGACAGGAAGGGGAGACAGGAGGTGGCGACAAGAGGAGGAGACAAGTGGTGGAGACAGGAGGTGGAGACAGGAGGAGGAGGAGACAGGAGGAGGAGACAAGAGGAGGAGACAGGAGGAGGAGACAGGAGGAGGAGACAGGAGGTGGAGACAAGAGGAGGAGACAGGAGGAGGAGACAAGAGGAGGACACAGGAGGTGGAGACAGGAAGAGGAGACAGGAGGTGGAGACATGAGGAGGAGACAGGTGGTGGAGACAGGAGGAGGAGACAGGAGGAGGAGACAGAAATAGGAGACAGGAGTTGGAGACAGGAGGAGGAGAAGACAGCAGGTGGAGGCAAGAGGAGGACACAGGAGGTGGAGACAGGAGGTGGCGACAAGAGGAGGAGACAAGTGGTGGAGACAGGAGGAGGAGACAGGAGGAGGAGACAGGAGGAGGAGACAGGAGGTGGAGACAGGAGGAGGAGGAGACAGGAGGTGGAGACAGGAGGAGGAGACAGGAGGTGGAGACAAGAGGAGGAGACAGGAGGAGGAGACAGGAGGAGGAGACAAGAGGAGGACACAGGAGGTGGAGACAGGAAGAGGAGACAGGAGGTGGAGACAGGAGGAGGAGACAGGTGGTGGAGACAGGAGGAGGAGACAGGAGGAGGAGGAGACAGGAGGTGGAGACAAGAGGAGGAGACAGGAGGTGGAGACAGGAGGTGAGGACAGGAGGAGGAGACAGGAGGTGGAGACAAGAGGAGGAGACAGGAGGTGGAGACAAGAGGAGGAGACAGGAGGAGGAGACAGGAGGTGGAGACAGGAGGAGGAGACAGTAGGAGACATTAGGTGGAGACAGGAGGAGGGGACAGGAGGTGGAGACAGGAGAGGAGGAGACAGCAGGTAGAGAAAGGAGGAGGAGGACAGGAGGAGACATGGTGGAGACACAGGTGGAGACAGGAGGAGGAGACAGGAGGAGGAGACAGGAGGAGGAGACAGGAGGAGGAGACAGGAGGTTGGGACAGGAGGAGGAGACAGGAGGAGAAGGAGACAGGAGGAGGAGACAGGGGGGAAGGAGGGGGGACAGGAGGGAGAGAGGGGAGAGAGGACAGGGAGGAGACAGGGAGAGGAGACAGGAGGTGGAGACAGGAGAGGAAGGAGACAGGAGGTGGAGACAGGAGGAGGAGACAGGAGGATGGAGACAGGAGGAGGAGACAGGAGGGGAGACAGGAGGAGACATTAGGAGGAGACAGGAGGAGGAGACAGGAGGTGGAAACAGGAGGTGGAGACATTAGGTGGAGACAGGAGGAGGAGACAGGAGGTGGAGACAGGAGGTGGAGACATTAGGTGGAGACAGGAGGAGGAGACAGGAGGTTGAGACATGAGGTTGAGACAGGAGGAGGAGACAGGAGGAGGAGAAGACAGCAGGTGGAGACAAGAGGAGGAGACAGAGGTGGAGACAGGAGAGGAGACAGGAGGTGGAGACAAGAGGAGGAGACAGGTGAGGAGACAGGAGCAGGAGACAGGAGGAGGAGACAGGAGGAGGAGACAGGAGGTGGAGACAGGAGGAGGAGACAGGAGGTGGAGACAGGAGGAGGAGGAGACAGGAGGTGGAGACACGAGGAGGAGACAGGAGGTGGAGACAAGAGGAGGAGACAGGAGGAGGAGACAGGAGGAGGAGACAGGAGGAGACAGGAGGGGGAACAGGAGGAGAAGGCAGCAGGTGGAGACAGGAGGAGGAGACATTAGGTGGAGACAGGAGGTGGAGAAAAGAGGAGGAGACAGGAGGTGGAGACAGGAGGAGGAGACAGGAGGAGGAGACAGGAGGTGGAGACAGTAGGAGGAGGAGACAGGAGGTGGAGACAGGAGGTGGAGACAGGAGGTGGAGACAGGAGGTGGTGACAGGAGGTGGAGACAGGAGGTGGAGACAGGAGGAGGAGACAGGAGGTGGAGACAGGAGGAGGAGACAGGAGGTGGGGACAGGAGGAGAAGACATTAGGTGGAGACAGGAGGAGGAGACAGGAGGTGGAGAAAGAGGGAGGAGACAGGAGGAGGAGACAGGAGGTGAGGACAGTAGGAGGAGACAGGAGGTGGAGACAAGAGGAGGAGACAGGAGGTGGAGACAGGAGGAGGAGACAGGAGGAGGAGACAGGAGGTTGAGACAGGAGGTGGAGACAGGAGGAGGATACAGGAGGAGACATTAGGTGGAGACAGGAGGAGGGGACAGGAGGTGAGGACAGGAGGAGGAGACAGGAGGAGACAGGAGGAGGAGACAGGAGGAGGAGACAGGAGGTGGAGAAGGGAGGAAGAGACAGGAGGAGACATTAGGTGGAGACAGGAGGAGGACACAGGAGGTGGGGACAGGAGGAGGAGACAGGAGGTGGGGACAGGAGGAGGAGACAGGAGGTGGAGACAGGAGGAGGAGACAGGAGTTGGAGATAGGAGGTGGAGATAGGATGAGGAGACAGGAGGTGGAGACAGGAGGAGGAGATAGGAGGAAAAGACAGGAGGAGGAGACAGGAGGAGGAAACAGGAGGAGGAGACAGGTGGAGGAGACAGGAGGAGGAGACAGGAGGAGGAGAAGACAGCAGGTGGAGACAAGAGGAGGACACAGGAGGTGGAGACAGGAAGAGGAGACAGGAGGTGGCGACAAGAGGAGGAGACAAGTGGTGGACACAGGAGGAGGAGACAGGAGGAGGAGACAGGAGGAGGAGACAGGAGGTGGAGACAGGAGGAAGAGGAGACAGGAGGTGGAGACAGGAGGAGGAGACAGGAGGTGGAGACAAGAGGAGGAGACAGGAGGAGGAGACAGGAGGAGGAGACAAGAGGAGGACACAGGAGGTGGAGACAGGAAGAGGAGACAGGAGGTGGAGACAAGAAGAGGAGACAGGTGGTGGAGACAGGAGGAGGAGACAGGAGGAGGAGACAGGAGGTGGAGACAGGAGGAGGAGGAGACAGGAGGAGGAGACAGGAGGTGAGGACAGGAGGAGGAGACAGGAGGTGGAGACAAGAGGAGGAGACAGGTGGTTGGAGACAGGAGGAGGAGACAGGAGGTGGAGACAGGAGGAGACAGGAGGAGGACACAGGAGGTGGAGACAGGAGGAGGAGACAGGAGGTGGAGACAGGAGGAGGAGACAGGAGGAGACATTAGGTGGAGACATTAGGTGGAGACAGGAGGAGGAGACAGGAGGAGGAGACAGGAGGTGGGGACAGGAGGAGGAGACAGGAGGTGGGGACAGGAGGAGGAGACAGGAGGTGGAGACAGGAGGAGGAGACAGGAGGTGGAGATAGGAGGTGGAGATAGGAGGAGGAGACAGGAGGTGGAGACAGGAGGAGGAGGAGACAGGAGGTGGAGAATGGAGGAGGAGACAGGAGGTGGAGAAAGGAGGAGGAGACAGGAGGTGGAGACATTAGGTGGAGACAGGAGGAGGAGACAGGAGGTTTAGACATGAGGTTGAGACAAGGAGGAGGAGACAGGAGGAGGAGACAGGAGGTGGAGACAGGAGGAGAAGACATTAGGTGGAGACAGGAGGAGGAGACAGGAGGTGGAGACAAGAGGAGGAGACAGGAGGAGGAGACAGGAGGTGAGGACAGGAGGAGGAGACAGGAGGTGGAGACAAGAGGAGGAGACAGGAGGTGGAGACAGGAGGAGGAGACAGGAGGAGGAGACAGGAGGTTGAGACAGGAGGTGGAGACAGGAGGAGGATACAGGAGGAGACATTAGGTGGAGACAGGAGGAGGGGACAGGAGGTGAGGACAGGAGGAGGAGACAGGAGGAGACAGGAGGAGGAGACAGGAGGTGGAGACAGGAGGAGGAGACAGGAGGTGGAGAAGGGAGGAGGAGACAGGAGGAGACATTAGGTGGAGACAGGATGAGGAGACAGGAGGAGGAGACAGGAGGTGGGGACAGGAGGAGGAGACAGGAGGTGGGGACAGGAGGAGGAGACAGGAGGTGGAGACAGGAGGAGGAGACAGGAGGTGGAGATAGGATGAGGAGACAGGAGGTGGAGACAGGAGGAGGAGGAGACAGGAGGAGGAGACAGGAGGTGGAGAAAGGAGGAGGAGACAGGAGGTGGAGACAGGAGGAGGAGATAGGAGGAAAAGACAGGAGGAGGAGACAGGAGGAGGAAACAGGAGGAGGAGACAGGTGGAGGAGACAGGAAGAGGAGACAGGAGGAGGAGACAGGAGGTGGAGACAGGAGGTGGAGAAAGGAGGAGGAGACAGGAGGTGGAGACAGGAGGAGGAGATAGGAGGAAAAGACAGGAGGAGGAGACAGGAGGAGGAAACAGGAGGAGGAGACAGGTGGAGGAGACAGGAGGAGGAGACAGGAGGTGGAGAAAGGAGGAGGAGACAGGAGGTGGAGACAGGAGGAGGAGATAGGAGGAAAAGACAGGAGGAGGAGACAGGAGGAGGAAACAGGAGGAGGAGACAGGTGGAGGAGACAGGAGGAGGAGACAGGAGGAGGAGACAGGAGGAGGAGACAGGAGGTGGAGACAAGAGGAGGAGACAGGTGGTTGAGACATGAGGAGGAGACAGGAGGAGGAGACAGGAGGAGACAGGAGGAGGACACAGGAGGTGGAGACAGGAGGAGGAGACAGGAGGTGGAGAAGGGAGGAGGAGACAGGAGGAGACATTAGGTGGAGACATTAGGTGGAGACAGGAGGAGGAGACAGGAGGAGGAGACAGGAGGTGGGGACAGGAGGAGGAGACAGGAGGTGGGGACAGGAGGAGGAGACAGGAGGTGAAGACAGGAGGAGGAGACAGGAGGAGGAGACAGGAGGTGGAGATAGGAGGTGGAGATAGGAGGAGGAGACAGGAGGTGGAGACAGGAGGAGGAGGAGACAGGAGGTGGAGAAAGGAGGAGGAGACAGGAGGTGGAGACAGGAGGAGGAGACAGGAGGTGGAGACATTAGGTGGAGACAGGAGGAGGAGACAGGAGGTTTAGACATGAGGTTGAGACAGGAGGAGGAGACAGGAGGAGGAGACAGGAGGTGGGGACAGGAGGAGAAGACATTAGGTGGAGACAGGAGGAGGAGACAGGAGGTGGAGACAAGAGGAGGAGACAGGAGGAGGAGACAGGAGGTGAGGACAGTAGGAGGAGACAGGAGGTGGAGACAAGAGGAGGAGACAGGAGGTGGAGACAGGAGGAGGAGACAGGAGGAGGAGACAGGAGGTTGAGACAGGAGGTGGAGACAGGAGGAGGATACAGGAGGAGACATTAGGTGGAGACAGGAGGAGGGGACAGGAGGTGAGGACAGGAGGAGGAGACAGGAGGAGACAGGAGGAGGAGACAGGAGGTGGAGACAGGAGGAGGAGACAGGAGGTGGAGAAGGGAGGAGGAGACAGGAGGAGACATTAGGTGGAGACAGGATGAGGAGACAGGAGGAGGACACAGGAGGTGGGGACAGGAGGAGGAGACAGGAGGTGGGGACAGGAGGAGGAGACAGGAGGTGGAGACAGGAGGAGGAGACAGGAGGTGGAGATAGGAGGTGGAGATAGGATGAGGAGACAGGAGGTGGAGACAGGAGGAGGAGGAGACAGGAGGAGGAGACAGGAGGTGGAGAAAGGAGGAGGAGACAGGAGGTGGAGACAGGAGGAGGAGATAGGAGGAAAAGACAGGAGGAGGAGACAGGAGGAGGAAACAGGAGGAGGAGACAGGTGGAGGAGACAGGTGGAGGAGACAGGAGGAGGAGACAGGAGGAGGAGAAGACAGCAGGTGGAGACAAGAGGAGGACACAGGAGGTGGAGACACGAAGAGGAGACAGGAGGTGGCGACAAGAGGAGGAGACAAGTGGTGGAGACAGGAGGAGGAGACAGGAGGAGGAGACAGGAGGAGGAGACAGGAGGAGGATACAGGAGGTGGAGACAGGAGGAAGAGGAGACAGGAGGTGGAGACAGGAGGAGGAGACAGGAGGTGGAGACAAGAGGAGGAGACAGGAGGAGGAGACAGGAGGAGGAGACAAGAGGAGGACACAGGAGGTGGAGACAGGAAGAGGAGACAGGAGGTGGAGACAAGAAGAGGAGACAGGTGGTGGAGACAGGAGGAGGAGGAGACAGGAGGAGGAGACAGGAGGAGGAGACAGGAGGTGGAGACAGGAGGAGGAGGAGACAGGAGGAGGAGACAGGAGGTGAGGACAGGAGGAGGAGACAGGAGGTGGAGACAAGAGAAGGAGACAGGTGGTTGAGACAAGAGGAGGAGACAGGAGGAGGAGACAGGAGGTGGAGACAGGAGGAGACAGGAGGAAGACACAGGAGGTGGAGACAGGAGGAGGAGACAGGAGGTGGAGAAGGGAGGAGGAGACAGGAGGAGACATTAGGTGGAGACATTAGGTGGAGACAGGAGGAGGAGACAGGAGGAGGAGACAGGAGGTGGGGACAGGAGGAGGAGACAGGAGGTGGGGACAGGAGGAGGAGACAGGAGGTGGAGACAGGAGGAGGAGACAGGAGGTGGAGATAGGAGGTGGAGATAGGAGGAGGAGACAGGAGGTGGAGACAGGAGGAGGAGGAGACAGGAGGTGGAGAAAGGAGGAGGAGACAGGAGGTGGAGACAGGAGGAGGAGACAGGAGGAGGAGAAGACAGCAGGTGGGAGGCAAGAGGAGGACACAGGAGGTGGAGACAGGAAGAGGAGACAGTAAGGGGAGACAGGAGGTGGCGACAAGAGGAGGAGACAAGTGGTGGAGACAGGAGGTGGAGACAGGAGGAGGAGGAGACAGGAGGAGGAGACAAGAGGAGGAGACAGGAAGAGGAGACAGGGGGAGGAGACAGGAGGTGGAGACAAGAGGAGGAGATAGGAGGAGGAGACAGGAGGAGGAGACAAGAGGAGGACACAGGAGGTGGAGACAGGAAGAGGAGACAGGAGGTGGAGACATGAGGAGGAGACAGGTGGTGGAGACAGGAGGAGGAGACAGGAGGAGGAGACAGAAAGAGGAGACAGGAGTTGGAGACAGGAGGAGGAGAAGACAGCAGGTGGAGGCAAGAGGAGGACACAGGAGGTGGAGACAGGAAGAGGAGACAGGAGGTGGCGACAAGAGGAGGAGACAAGTGGTGGAGACAGGAGGAGGAGACAGGAGGAGGAGACAGGAGGAGGAGACAGAAGGTGGAGACAGGAGGAGGAGGAGACAGGAGGTGGAGACAGGAGGAGGAGACAGGAGGTGGAGACAAGAGGAGGAGACAGGAGGAGGAGACAGGAGGAGGAGACAAGAGGAGGACACAGGAGGTGGAGACAGGAAGAGGAGACAGGAGGTGGAGACAGGAGGAGGAGACAGGTGGTGGAGACAGGAGGAGGAGACAGGAGGAGGAGACAGGAGGAGGAGACAGGAGGTGGAGACAAGAGGAGGAGACAGGAGGTGGAGACAGGAGGTGAGGACAGGAGGAGGAGACAGGAGGTGGAGACAAGAGGAGGAGACAGGAGGTGGAGACAAGAGGAGGAGACAGGAGGAGGAGACAGGAGGTGGAGACAGGAGGTGGAGACAGGAGGAGGAGACAGTAGGAGACATTAGGTGGAGACAGGTGGTGGAGACAGGAGGAGGAGACAGGAGGAGGAGACAGGAGGAGGAGACAGGAGGTGGAGACAAGAGGAGGAGACAGGAGGTGGAGACAGGAGGTGAGGACAGGAGGAGGAGACAGGAGGTGGAGACAAGAGGAGGAGACAGGAGGTGGAGACAAGAGGAGGAGACAGGAGGAGGAGACAGGAGGTGGAGACAGGAGGTGGAGACAGGAGGAGAGACAGTAGGAGACATTAGGTGGAGACAGGAGGAGGGGACAGGAGGTGGAGACAGGAGGAGGAGACAGCAGGTAGAGAAAGGAGGAGGAGACAGGAGGAGACATTGGTGGAGACATTAGGTGGAGACAGGAGGAGGAGACAGGAGGAGGAGACAGGAGGTGGGGACAGGAGGAGGAGACAGGATGGTTGGGACAGGAGGAGGAGACAGGAGGTTGAGACAGGAAGAGGAGACAGGAGGAAGAGGAGACAGGAGGAAGAGGAGACAGGAGGAAGAGGAGACAGGAGGTGGAGACAGGAGGAGGAGACAGTAGGAGACATTAGGTGGAGACAGGTGGTGGAGACAGGAGGAGGAGACAGGAGGAGGAGACAGGAGGAGGAGACAGGAGGTGGAGACAAGAGGAGGAGACAGGAGGTGGAGACAGGAGGTGAGGACAGGAGGAGGAGACAGGAGGTGGAGACAAGAGGAGGAGACAGGAGGTGGAGACAAGAGGAGGAGACAGGAGGAGGAGACAGGAGGTGGAGACAGGAGGTGGAGACAGGAGGAGGAGACAGTAGGAGACATTAGGTGGAGACAGGAGGAGGGGACAGGAGGTGGAGACAGGAGGAGGAGACAGCAGGTAGAGAAAGGAGGAGGAGACAGGAGGAGACATTGGTGGAGACATTAGGTGGAGACAGGAGGAGGAGACAGGAGGAGGAGACAGGAGGTGGTGACAGGAGGAGGAGACAGGAGGTTGGGACAGGAGGAGGAGACAGGAGGTTGAGACAGGAAGAGGAGACAGGAGGAAGAGGAGACAGGAGGAAGAGGAGACAGGAGGAAGAGGAGACAGGAGGTGGAGACAAGAGGAGGAGACAGGAGGTGGAGACAGGAGGAGGAGACAGGAGGAGGAGACAGGAGGAGGAAACAGGAGGAGGAGACAGGAGGTGGAGACATTAGGAGGAGACAGGAGGAGGAGGCAGGAGGTGGAGACAGGAGGTGGAGACATTAGGTGGAGACAGGAGGAGGAGACAGAAGGTGGAGACAGGAGGTGGAGACATTAGGTGGAGACAGGAGGAGGAGACAGGAGGTTGAGACATGAGGTTGAGACAGGAGGAGGAGACAGGAGGAGGAGAAGACAGCAGGTGGAGACAAGAGGAGGACACAGGAGGTGGAGACAAGAGGAGGAGACAGGTGGTGGAGACAGGAGCAGGAGACAGGAGGAGGAGACAGGAGGAGGACACAGGAGGTGGAGACAGGAGGAGGAGACAGGAGGTGGAGACAGGAGGAGGAGGAGACAGGAGGTGGAGACACGAGGAGGAGACAGGAGGTGGAGACAAGAGGAGGAGACAGGAGGAGGAGACAGGAGGAGGAGACAGGAGGAGACAGGAGGCGGGAACAGGAGGAGAAGGCAGCAGGTGGAGACAGGAGGAGTAGACATTAGGTGGAGACAGGAGGTGGAGAAAAGAGGAGGAGACAGGAGGTGGAGACAGGAGGAGGAGAACGGAGGAGGAGACAGGAGGTGGAGACAGTAGGAGGAGGAGACAGGAGGTGGAGACAGGAGGTGGAGACACTAGGAGGTGGAGACAGGAGGTGGTGACAGGAGGTGGAGACAGGAGGTGGAGACAGGAGGAGGAGACAGGAGGTGGAGACAGGAGGAGGAGACAGGAGGTGGGGACAGGAGGAGAAGACAGGAGGTGGGGACAGGAGGAGGAGACAGAAGGTGGGGACAGGAGGAGGAGACAGGAGGTGGAGACAGGAGGAGGAGACAGGAGGTGGAGACAAGAGGAGGAGACAGGAGGAGGAGACCAGAGGAGGAGACAGGAGGAGTAGGCCGGAGGAATGAGACGGCTCGTCAGGATCCTCTCACCTCGGTCTCCTGCTGATCTTAGGCAGAGGGCTTTTCCCAGAATGCTTTGCAGTGTTTATTTTTCCCTTGTGTTTGGATGCTTTATTCTCGGTCTGGGACTGGGATTGGGACTGGGTCTGGGTCTGGGACTGGAACTGGGTCTCGGTCTGGTTCTGGGTCAGCGGAGCCAAAAGGACGCGCTCTCTGGTTCCTGGAAACACGGATACACACAACTGTGACATGTAGAGACCAGAGAGAGACCAGAGAGAGACCAGAGAGAGACCAGAGAGAGACCAGAGAGAGACCAGAGAGAGAGACCTGAGAGAGAGACCAGAGAGAGAGACCAGAGAGAGAGACCAGAGAGAGACCAGAGGGAGACCAGAGAGAGAGACCAGATAGAGACCAGAGAGAGACCAGAGAGAGACCAGAGAGAGAGACCAGAGAGAGACCAGAGAGAGACCAGAGAGAGAGACCAGAGAGAGACCAGAGAGAGAGACCAGAAAGAGACCAGAGAGAGACCAGAGAGAGACCAGAGAGAGACCAGAGAGAGAGACCAGAGAGAGACCAGAGAGAGAGACCAGAGAGAGAGACCAGAGAGAGACCAGAGAGAGAGACCAGAGAGAGACCAGAGAGAGACCAGAGAGAGACCAGAGAGAGACCAGAGAGAGAGACCAGAGAGAGAGACCAGAGAGAGAGACCAGAGAGAGACCAGAGAGAGACCAGAGAGAGAGACCAGAGAGAGAGACCAGAGAGAGACCAGAGAGAGACCAGACAGAGACCAGAGAGAGAGACCAGAGAGAGAGACCAGAGAGAGAGACCAGAGAGAGAGACCAGAGAGAGAGACCAGAGAGAGAGACCAGAGAGAGACCAGAGAGAGACCAGAGAGAGACCAGAGAGAGAGACCAGAGAGAGAGACCAGAGAGAGACCAGAGAGAGAGACCGAAAGAGACCAGAGAGAGACCAGAGAGAGACCAGAGAGAGACCAGAGAGAGAGACCAGAGAGAGACCAGAGAGAGACGAGAGAGAGAGACCAGAGAGAGAGACCAGAGAGAGAGACCAGAGAGAGACCAGAGAGAGACCAGAGAGAGAGACCAGAGAGAGAGACCAGAGAGAGAGACCAGAGAGAGAGACCAGAGAGAGAGACCAGAGAGAGACCAGAGAGAGAGACCAGAGAGAGACCAGAGAGAGACCAGAGAGAGAGACCAGTGGGAGAGACCATAGAGAGTGAAACCAGAGAGAGACCATTGAGGAGCAGAATGAAGGACTCAGACCAGTGGAGGTGCAGCGGTGCACTATGTTTAGGTAGTGGGAGCAGATCAGGTCTCGGACTCGGTCTGGACTTTGGGACGAGGCCACAGAGTACAGGTACTGCCTCTGAGCCGGGGTCAGGCTGGAGCGCTGAGGGAGAGAGACGGACCAATCAGAGAGCTGAGAGAGAGAGATGGACCAATCAGAGAGCTGAGAGAGAGACGGACCAATCAGAGAGCTGAGAGAGAGACGGACCAATCAGAGGGCTGAGAGAGAGACGGACCAATCAGAGAGCTGAGAGAGAGACGGACCAATCAGAGGCCTGAAAGAGAGAGACGGACCAATCAGAGGGCTGAGAGACAGAGACGGACCAATCAGAGAGCTGAGAGAGAGAGATGGACCAATCAGAGAGCTGAGAGAGAGACGGACCAATCAGAGAGCTGAGAGAGAGACAGACCAATCAGAGGGCTGAGAGAGAGATGGACCAATCAGAGAGCTGAGAGAGAGACGGACCAATCAGAGGCCTGAAAGAGAGAGACGGACCAATCAGAGGGCTGAGAGAAAGAGACGGACCAATCAGAGAGTTGAGAGAGAGACGGACCAATCAGAGAGCTGAGAGAGAGAGACGGACCAATCAGAGAGCTGAGAGAGAGACAGACCAATCAGAGAGTTGAGAGAGAGACAGACCAATCAGAGGGCTGAGAGAGAGATGGACCAATCAGAGAGCTGAGAGAGAGACGGACCAATCAGAGGCCTGAAAGAGAGAGACGGACCAATCAGAGGGCTGAGAGAAAGAGACGGACCAATCAGAGAGTTGAGAGAGAGACGGACCAATCAGAGAGCTGAGAGAGAGACAGACCAATCAGAGAGTTGAGAGAGAGACGGACCAATCAGAGAGCTGAGAGAGAGAGACGGACCAATCAGAGAGTTGAGAGAGAGACGGACCAATCAGAGAGTTGAGAGAGAGAGACGGACCAATCAGAGAGTTGAGAGAGAGACGGACCAATCAGAGAGCTGAGAGAGAGACAGACCAATCAGAGAGTTGAGAGAGAGACGGACCAATCAGAGAGCTGAGAGAGAGAGACGGACCAATCAGAGAGTTGAGAGAGAGACGGACCAATCAGAGAGTTGAGAGAGAGAGACGGACCAATCAGAGAGTTGAGAGAGAGACGGACCAATCAGAGGGTTGAGAGGGAGAGACGGACCAATCAGAGAGTTGAGAGAGAGACGGACCAATCAGAGGGCTGAGAGAGAGAGACGGACCAATCAGAGAGTTGAGAGAGAGACGGACCAATCAGAGAGCAAAGAGAGAGACGGACCAATGAGAGAGCTGAGAGAGAGACAGACCAATCAGAGAGCTGAGAGAGAGAGACAGACCAATCAGAGAGCAAAGAAAGAGACGGACCAATCAGAGAGCTGAGAGAGAGAGACGGATCAATCAGAGGTCTGAAAGAGAGAGACGAACCAATTAGAGGGCTGAGAAAGAGAGACGGACCAATCAGAGAGCTAAGAGAGAGAGAGACGGAAGTTAGCTCTAATGGAAGTTGTGTCTGTTGTGTGTCTGTTGTGTGACTGTTGTGTGTCTGTTGTGTGTCTGTTGTGTTTCTGTTGTGTTTCTGTTGTGTGTCTGTTGTGTGTCTGTTGTGTTTCTGTTGTGTGTCTGTTGTGTAGGCTTTTTTTTGTGACAGGGCCAAGGTCTCTCCTCTAACTAGAGACTGTCAGACCCTGTGCAGTGATCAGAGATTAGAGGGGAAGGGGAAAGCAGGGGAGGAGGACGGAGCGGAGGCAGTATTAGCACTAATACTGTAATAGTAGTAGTAGTAGTAGCAGTAGCAGGAATAGTAGTAGTAGTAGTAGTAGTAGTAGCAGTAGCAGTAGCAGTAGAAGTAGAAGTAGAAGTAATAGTAGCAGTAGCAGTAGCAGTAGAAGTAGAAGTAGAAGTAGAAGTAGTAGGAGCAGTAGCAGTAGCAGTAGAAGTAGAAGTAGAAGTAGAAGTAGCAGTAGCAGTAGTAGGAGCAGTAGCAGTAGCAGTAGCAGTAGAAGTAGAAGTAGAAGTAGTAGTAGCAGTAGCAGTAGCAGTAGAAGTAGCAGTAGCAGTAGCAGTAGTAGTAGCAGTAGCAGTAGCAGTAGTAGTAGTAGTAGTAGCAGTAGCAGTAGTAGTAGCAGTAGTAGTAGCAGTAGCAGTAGCAGTAGCAGTAGCAGTAGCAGTAGCAGTGGTAGTAGAAGTAGCAGTAGCAGTAGCAGTAGCAGTAGTAGTAGAAGTAGCAGTAGCAGTAGTAGTAGTAGTAGTAGTAGCAGTAGCAGTAGCAGTAGTAGTAGCAGTAGCAGTAGTAGTAGAAGTAGAAGTAGAAGTAGAAGTAGAAGTAGCAGTAGCAGTAGCAGTAGTAGTAGCAGTAGCAGTAGCAGTAGCAGTAGAAGTAGTAGTAGAGATTAGAGGGGAAGGGGAAAGCAGGGGAGGAGGACGGAGCGGAGGCAGTATTAGCACTAATACTGTAATAGTAGTAGTAGTAGTAGCAGTAGCAGGAATAATAGTAGTAGTAGTAGTAGTAGTAGTAGTAGTAGAAGTAGCAGTAGCAGTAGTAGTAGTAGTAGTAGCAGTAGCAGTAGCAGTAGAAGTAGAAGTAGTAGTAGCAGTAGCAGTAGCAGTAGCAGTAGCAGTAGTAGTAGTAGTAGCAGTAGCAGTAGCAGTAGCAGTAGTAGTAGTAGTAGAAGTAGCAGTAGCAGTAGTAGTAGAAGTAGCAGTAGCAGTAGAAGTAGTAGTAGCAGTAGCAGTAGAAGTAGCAGTAGCAGTGGCAGTGGTAGTAGTAGTAGCAGTAGCAGTAGCAGTAGCAGTAGTAGTAGAAGTAGCAGTAGCAGTAGCAGTAGAAGTAGCAGTAGCAGTAGCAGTAGAAGTAGTAGTAGAGATTAGAGGGGAAGGGGAAAGCAGGGGAGGAGGACGGAGCGGAGGCAGTATTAGCACTAATACTGTAATAGTAGTAGTAGTAGCAGGAATAATAGTAGTAGTAGTAGTAGTAGCAGTAGCAGTAGTAGTAGTAGTAGAAGTAGCAGTAGCAGTAGAAGTAGAAGTAGTAGTAGCAGTAGCAGTAGCAGTAGCAGTAGTAGTAGTAGTAGTAGTAGCAGTAGCAGTAGCAGTAGTAGTAGAAGTAGCAGTAGCAGTAGTAGTAGAAGTAGCAGTAGCAGTAGAAGTAGTAGTAGCAGTAGCAGTAGAAGTAGCAGTAGCAGTGGCAGTGGTAGTAGTAGTAGCAGTAGCAGTAGCAGTAGCAGTAGTAGTAGAAGTAGCAGTAGCAGTAGCAGTAGAAGTAGCAGTAGCAGTAGCAGTAGAAGTAGCAGTAGCAGTAGCAGTGGTAGTAGTAGTAGCAGTAGCAGTAGTAGTAGAAGTAGCAGTAGCAGTAGCAGTAGTAGTAGTAGTAGCAATAGCAGTAGTAGTAGTAGTAACAGTAGCAGTAGTAGTAGAAGTAGAAGTAGTAGTAGCAGTAGTAGTAGCAGTAGCAGTAGTAGTAGTAGCAGTAGCAGTAGCAGTAGCAGTAGTAGTATTAGTAGCAGTAGTAGTGGTAATAGTAGTGTCGTACTGTGAGGAATGGGGCCGTGGCCAGGCTCTGGTGGATGTGCACTGCGCCTTTGTGGCCACTAGGGGTGGAGAACCTCCGGGGCTCCAGGCGCCACTCATCTGCAGCTAGAAATAATAACATCATCCACAGAAAGAGAGCAGACAGAGACCAGAGTGAGAGTAGTGAGAGACCAGAAGGAGACTAGAGAGAGACCAGAGAGTGACCAGAGAGAGAGACAAGAGAGAGAGACCAGAGAGAGAGACAAGAGAGAGAGACCAGAGAGAGACCAGAGAGAGAGACCAGAGAGAGACCAGAGAGAGACCAGAGAGAAAACATAAACAGACAAGAGAGAGCCCAGAGGAAGAGACCAGAGGGAGAGACCAGAGAGAGAAACCAGAGAGAGAGACCAGAAAGAGACCAGAGAGAGACTAGAGAGAGTACAGAAAGAGAAACCAGAGAGAGAGAGAGAGATCAGAGAGAGACCAGAAAGAGAAACCAGAAAGAGAGACCAGAGAGAGAGACCAGAGAGAGACCAGGGAGAGACCAGTAAAAGACCAGAGAGCGACATGAGAGAGAGACCACAAAGGGGCGTAGACTTCACTCCAGGGTTTGGGGAAACGAAACTTTTAACTTTTCACGCATTCATCTGTGAGAGAAACCCCCTCCCACACCACCAACCATTCACCCACCAGAGTCATTCTAATGTGGGGGAAGTGTCTTGCCTTTGGGCATAAGGCGCGCCCCACTGTGGCAACTGGTGTTCCCAGTGGTCTCCCATCACAGTCCTAACCAGGCCCTACCCTGCATAGCATCAGAGGTCTGAGGGATCTGGATTTCACCTGCAGGGGGCGCCACAAAGACACTTCAGGACTGTACTCACCAGACTTGGACTCAGTCGGCAGAGAAAACCTGCAGAAACAAAACAGAAACTTCAGAGGACCAGAGAGAGAGACCAGAGCGAGAGACCAGAGAGAGAGACCAGAGAGAGACCAGAGAGAGAGACCAGAGAGAGACCGGAGACAGACCAGAGAGAGAGACCAGAGAGAGACACCAGAGAGAGACCAGAGACAGACCAGAGAGAGACACCAGAGAGAGACCAGAGACAATCTGTGTATAACAGTAGTTTCCTTCTCACTTGTGTCTCTGCAGCTTCTCTGTGCGGCTCTGAGCAAACGTCACCTGCTTCTTCATCCCACACTCAAACACCAGTCACCCCTGTCCCTGATGTCTCTCCCTGATGTCTCTCTGATGTCTCTCTGATGTCTCTCTGATGTCTCCCTGATGTCTCTCTGATGTCTCTGATGTCTCTCTGATGTCTCCCTGATGTCTCTCTGATGTCTCCCTGATGTCTCTCTGATGTCTCCTGATATCCCTGATGTCGCTGATGTCTCTCTGATGTCTCCCTGATGTCTCTCTGATGTCTCCCTGATGTCTCTCTGATGTCTCTGATGTCTCTCTGATGTCTCCCTGATGTCTCTCTGATGTCTCTGATGTCTCTCTGATGTCTCCCTGATGTGTCTGATATCCCTGATGTCTCTGATGTATCTGATGTCTCTGATGTATCTGATGTCTCTCTGATGTCTCTGATGTCTCCCTGATGTCTCTGATATCCCTGATGTCTCTGATGTCTCTCTGATGTCTCCCCGATGTCTCCCTGATGTTTCCCTGATGCCTCCCTGATGTCTCCCTGATGCCCCCTGATGTCTCTCCCTGATGTGTCTCCCTAATGTCTCCCCCTGATGCCTCCCTGATGTCTCCCTGTTGTCTCTCCCTGATGTCTCTCTCTGATGTCTCTGATGCCTCCCTGATGCCTCCCTGATGCCTCCCTAATGTCTCCCAGATGTCTCTCCCTGATGTCTCCCTCTGATGCCTCCCTGATGTCTCTCCCTGATGTCTCCCTCTGATGCCTCCCTAATGTCTCTCCCTGATGCCTCCCTGATGCCTCCCTGATGTCTCTCCCTGATGTCTCTGATGTCTCAGTCCTGTGCTCCACACAGTCAGGTGTAAGCCTAGACCCAGCCTCATGTTTCACAGAGAGCAGAGCAGAGGGTCAAAGGCACGGCCCGGGGGCCGGAGGCGGCCGCCCAGACATTTGATACGGCCCTCGGATCATTTATTTATTTACACCTCCTCTCACTTCCTCTCTTCTCTCTCCTCCTCTCTTCTCTCACCTCCTCTCGCCTCCTCTCTCCTCTCACCTCCTCTCTCCTCCTCTCTCCTCCTCTCCTATCTCACCTCCTCTCTCCTCCTGTCTTCTCTCACCTCCTCTCTCCTCTCACCTCCTCTCTCCTCTCACCTCCTCTCTTCTCTCACCTCCTCTCTCCTCCTCTCTCCTCCTCTCTTCTCTCACCTCCTCTCACCTCCTCTCACCTCCTCTCTTCTCTCACCTCCTCTCACCTCCTCTCTCCTCCTCTCTTCTCCTCTCTCCTCTCACCTCCTCTAACCTCCTCTCTCCTCTCACCTCCTCTCACCTCCTCTCTCCTCTCACCTCCTCTCACCTCCTCTCTTCTCTCACCTCCTCTCTCCTCTCACCTCCTCTCACCTCCTCTCTCCTCTCACCTCCTCTCTCCTCCTCTCTCCTCCTCTCCTATCTCACCTCCTCTCTCCTCCTGTCTTCTCTCACCTCCTCTCTCCTCTCACCTCCTCTCTCCTCCTCTCTCCTCTCACCTCCTCTCTTCTCTCACCTCCTCTCACCTCCTCTCTCCTCCTCTCTCCTCTCACCTCCTCTCACCTCCTCTCACCTCCTCTCTCCTCCTCTCTCCTCTCACCTCCTCTAACCTGCTCTCTCCTCTCACCTCCTCTCACCTCCTCTCTCTCCTCTCTTCTCTCTCTCCCTCACCTCTCTCCTCTCTCTCCTCTCACCTTCTCCTCTCCTCTCACCTCCTCTCACCTCCTCTCTCTCTCTCACCTCCTCTCACCTCCTCTCTCCTCTCACCTCCTCTCTCCTCCTCTCTCCTCTCACCTCCTCTCTCCTCCTTTCTTCATCTCACCTCCTCTCTCCTCCTTCTTCTCTCTCTCCTCCTCCTCCCTCTCTCACCTCCTCTCACCTCCTCTCTCCTCCTCTCTCTCTCACCTCCTCTCACCTCCTCTCTCCTCCTCTCACCTCCTCTCTCTCCTCCTCTCACCTCCTCTCTCCTCCTCACCTCCTCGTTCCTCTCACCTCCTCTCACCTCCTCTCTCCTCCTCACCTCCTCTCTCCTCCTCTCACCTCCTCTCTCCTCCTCTCTCTTCCTCTCTCCTCTCACCTCCTCTCTCCTCCTCTCTTCTCTCACTCTCCTCCACCACTTCTCTCTCCTCCTCTCTCCTCCTCTCTTCTCTCACCTTCTCTCTCCTCTCTCCTCCTCTCTTCTCTCACCTCCTCTCACCTCCTCTCACCTCCTCTCTTCTCTCACCTCCTCTCTCCTCCTCTCTTCTCCTCTCTCCTCCTCTCTCCTCTCACCTCCTCTCTCCTCCTCTCTTCTCTCACCTTCTCTCTACTCTCACCTCCTCTCTCCTCTCAACTCCTCTCTCCTCCTCTCTTCTCTCACCTCCTCTCTCCTCCTCTCTTCTCTCACCTCCTCTCTCCTCCTCTCTCCTCTCACCTCCTCTCTCCTCCTCTCTTCTCTCACCTCCTCTCACCTCCTCTCTCCTCTCACCTCCTCTCACCTCCTCTCTTCTCTCACCTCCTCTCACCTCCTCTCACCTCATCTCTCCTCGTCTCTCCTCTCACCTCCTCTCTCCTCCTCTCACCTCCTCTCTCCTCCTCCTCTCTCCTCCTCTCTCCTCCTCTCTCCTCCTCTCACGTCCTCTCTCCTCCTCACTCCTCTCACCTCCTCTCTCCTCCTCTCTCCTCTCACCTCCTCTCTCCTCACCTCCTCTCACCTCTCTCCTCCTCTCTCCTCTCACCTCCTCTCACCTCCTCTCTCCTCACCTCCTCTCACCTCCTCTCACCTCCTCTCTCCTCTCACCTCCTCTCTCCTCCTCTCACCTCCTCTCTCCTCCTCTCTTCTCTCACCTCCTCTCTTCTCTCACCTCCTCTCTCCTCCTCTCTCTCACCTCCTCTCTCCTCCTCTCTTCTCTCACCTCCTCTCTCCTCTCACCTCCTCTCTCCTCTCTCTCACCTCCTCTCACCTCCTCTCTCCTCTCACCTCCTCTCTCCTCTCACCTCCTCCCTCCTCTCACCTCCTCACCTCCTCTCCTCCTCTCTTCTCTCACCTCCTCTCTCCTCCTCTTTTCTCTCACCTACACTCACCTCCTCTCTCCTCTCACCTCCTTTTTTTTATCAGAGGAGGAGTTGGTGCCTTTGTTGGACACTACAACAGCTGGTACTGTTGATGGTTCTGTTCCTGTTGATGGTTCTGTTGCTGTTGATGGTACTGATGATGGTTATGTTGATGGTACTGTTGATGGTTCTGTTGCTGTTGATGGTACTGATGATGGTTATGTTGATGGTACTGATGATGGTTCTGTTGCTGGTACTGATGATGGTTCTGTTGCTGGTACTGATGATGGTTCTGTTGATGGTACTGATGATGGTTCTGTTGATGGTACTGATGATGGTTCTGTTGCTGGTACTGATGATGGTTCTGTTGATGGTTCTGTTGCTGGTATTGATGATGGTTCTGTTGCTGGTACTGATGATGGTTCTGTTGCTGGTACTGATTATGGTTCTGTTGATGGTACTGATTATGGTTCTGTTGCTGGTACTGATGATGGTTCTGTTGCTGGTACTGATGATGGTTCTGTTGATGGTTCTGTTGCTGGTACTGATGATGGTTCTGTCGATGGTACTGTTGATGGTACTGATGATGATTATGTTGATGGTACTGATGAGGGTTCTGTTGCTGGTACTGATGATGGTTCTGTTGCTGGTACTGATTATGGTTCTGTTGCTGGTACTGATGATGGTTCTGTTGATGGTACTGTTGCTGGTACTGATGATGGTTCTGTTGCTGGTACTGATGATGGTTCTGTTGCCGGTACTGATGATGGTTCTGTTGCTGGTACTGATGATGGTTCTGTTGATGGTACTGATGATGGTTATGTGGATGGTACTGATGATGGTTATGTTGATGGTACTGTTGATGGTTCTGTTGCTGGTACTGATGATGGTACTGTTGCTGGTACTGATGATGGTTCTGTTGCTGGTACTGATGATGGTTCTGTTGATGGTACTGATGATGGTTATGTGGATGGTACTGTTGATGGTTCTGTTGATGGTACTGATGATGGTTCTGTTGCTGGTACTGATGATGGTTCTGTTGCTGGTACTGATGATGGTTCTGTTGCTGGTTCTGTTGATGGTACTGATGATGGTTCTGTTGCTGGTACTGATGATGGTTCTGTTGATGGTTCTGTTGCTGGTATTGATGATGGTTCTGTTGCTGGTACTGATGATGGTTCTGTTGCTGGTACTGATTATGGTTCTGTTGATGGTACTGATTATGGTTCTGTTGCTGGTACTGATGATGGTTCTGTTGCTGGTACTGATGATGGTTCTGTTGATGGTTCTGTTGCTGGTACTGATGATGGTTCTGTCGATGGTTCTGTTGCTGGTACTGATTATGGTTCTGTTGCTGGTACTGATGATGGTTCTGTTGATGGTACTGTTGCTGGTACTGATGATGGTTCTGTTGCTGGTACTGATGATGGTTCTGTTGCGGTACTGATGATGGTTCTGTTGCTGGTACTGATGATGGTTCTGTTGATGGTACTGATGATGGTTTGTTGATGGTACTGTGATGGTTTGTTGCTGGTACTGATGATGGTTCTGTTGCTGGTACTGATGATGGTTCTGTTGATGGTTCTGTTGCTGGTACTGATGATGGTTCTGTTGATGGTTCTGTTGCTGGTACTGATGATGGTTCTGTTGCTGGTACTGATGATGGTTCTGTTGCTGGTACTGATTATGGTTCTGTTGATGGTACTGATGATGGTTCTGTTGCTGGTACTGATGATGGTTCTGTTGCTGGTACTGATGATGGTTCTGTTGATGGTTCTGTTGCTGGTACTGATGATGGTTCTGTTGATGGTACTGTTGATGGTACTGATGATGATTAT